AAAAACGTTGCCTGATACTAGCTTATTTATATTTAGCGTATGATGTGTACGCATATTAGTCGATTTCATGTTTCTGAGTTCAAAATTAGTACATTATGACCATATTAGTCGATTTCATGTTTCCAGTTCAAAATTAGTACACTATGACCATGATGGGATACGGATTATCTGGTCAAAAACGGATTATCTGGTCACTTTTGACCAGGTAATTTTTTAATTCAAAATTTAACTCAATTTGACTTAACCTTCTTATCCATATAACTGAATAAAATCAATGCATCATCCTTGAACATCATATTAAAATTTAATTTACTATTCAACCATTCACATAATTTTAACTACTTATCACTTTCGACCACATCTCTCCTACTCTGACATCAAATTATTATTAAACAAATCAAATCGAATCCAAAATAACTTATAACCAATGAGTTCCTGAGTTTTGGTTTATGAAAAAACACTTTCGGCTCCAACCAGGCTTGTGAAAGATCTTCAAGTATGGCAACGCATGAAGCGAAATTAGAAAAGGCAAAAGCGTAGAATAATATAGTGAACCACTTAAACCAAATAGATACACCACCAATCAAACACCACATGAAAAATCCAAGGAAATAGGAAGTCACAAATGCTAACCCTGATACCTGCAAGATAAGCACTAAATTGGAAACAACAATGTCAATTCTCTATATTCAGGAGCGAAATGGAGATCAGCACAAATGGAAAAAGCCCATGATAATTAATTATTACATTCAAAGAACAAACTACAAAAATCTTGAACGGGCACCACCCATCGAGACTTAGTCATCTTCAAAATTATGTTTTCTTTCTAATACTTTGAAAGGGCATCCCTTAAGATTTCCAAAAAAAGCTATGGAGGTGAAGGGCACACAAAATATCAGCTGATGATCATCTTGTTTAGGTACTGAGCTTGCTCGGGAAAATACTCCAACAGCTCGTCCTTTGTCACCCAAACATAATCTTCACACTTGCCTATGTTGAACTTGGTTGTGGCAATGACTTGAGATTTGAAAAAGAATCGCTGACAGCACATACAGTTTTAAGCAAGAGTGAATTAGGAATGTTGTAACTAGGTTTTTGTTCAAAAAATGGGAAAAAAAGAAGGAAAGAAAATAGCATGATGTCATCGGGTTAAGAAAAACAGTTATTTTTTAAAATCCAAATCTCATTCGATAATATTTAGTATCAAGGAAAAATGCAAGCCTCTGCTACCTTAAGAGCCGAGTCATTTTCTTTTTCTGATGGCTGCATAACCATATGGCCCATTGGAGCATTTCCAACGAAATAAGTATCGCTAAGGTCTCCAATCACCGATTTCAAGGCAGACTCAGCACACTGCAAGTATTTGGATGCAACCAACTTTGTTTTTCACTCGACACTATAATTGTACACAAAGGGTAAACTCGACAAAGCCTGAAATGGCGAGAGCGGAATTACCTTACGCAATGTTTGTTCAGATTCATAAATCTTTTCTGGAAAGTGCCAGACGGGTTCCCCATTAGAACCATAGGCAGTGCCATAAATGAGAAGATAGAGCCTCCGGTCGAGCGCTCTCTGTAATGACCTACAAAATTTAACATGCTGACACTTGTACTATGATATATAACATGGCCTGCATAGAATCTTGAAAGCCAAATATTATAGGATTGCTGGCAGTACCGTTTGTCATTACTTTTATCTGCTTCAGTGATCCGTGGAGCTGGCGTAAAGTCAATTTGATAATCTCCTTTTCCCCTGAATGTTCATTCAAAACCGCATCAGTTTTTCATAAATGAGAAACAAATTAACCATGTTCGAATTTGTCGAGTAGAAAATTTTCAGGTGAACAGAAAGACCAGCAAACATTGAGGAGGACCCAGACAAAAAACAGAAAGGGAGAAAAAGAAAAGCAAAACGGAAAAGAAGAAGAAGAAGAAGAAAGTTAGAGAAAAAGAATTGAATATGTATATGATTCCGCTCATAACCAACAAAGATGAGTTCATGAGAACTTGCCCACTTCCAAACATAATATTTCAGCATACTATTACCTCAACTCATCACGCCTACAATCTCATTTTCATACCTAGCCAAATATTAAGCTTTTCCTGTATGTATAACACCATAAAATAAATATATATTTCATCCTAAACTGACATATGAACAGAAATCATTGGAAATATATTTCCATTTTAAAAATACCAAAAAATACTCTGAGATTACTAAGGCAATGAAAAAGAGTTGAAAAATGCAAAAGCACGAGATTCAATCCGATACAATAGAAAGACAAGGGTTACTTTGTCTATTGAGGATCTTTTCTCGATCAAGAGAAAGTACAGAACAAAACAACAAATTCATCTGATCATGGTTAAGAAATCTGACCAAAGTAACTGTAATAAATTTCCACCAAGTCTGATTATTCGGGAAACTTCTATTCCTATACTTGGCGTTGAGACAAAATATAAAGAACAACTGGCTTCATATAAGAATAGAAGTTTCTAGCAAGCTTTTGAGCTACTGCGATAAATAACTGGAGGAAACTGCATGAGTATAAACATACTCCAATGATGCTTTATATTAGTACATTGTGCACCTATCTCTCTGAAAGTAATATAACACTTTAGAGCTCCCGCATAGAAGGTACAAATTACGCCATTATATCTAAACTATATACGAAATACAACAATATTGTCACAATCCACAACATGACAGAAAAATGTCACAATTCTACCTGACTGATGATGGAACTTATACTACAGAAAAATGGAACACAAGAGAAGAAATAAGAAATCCTGAAAGGAAAACATAAATCCGAAACAGAAAAGGAAAATCATAAAAATACCTAGCCTCGGCTTTTTTCAAGAAAGCTTCTGGGTATTCCCGTCGATACTGTTGTCTCCATCGGAACCTAAAATCACATCCCAGATTGCAGCCATCATAAGATAATATGACTTAGAACCTTCAAAACCATAATTACCAGCAATATCAAACATATGTAGAGAATTTCAAATTTTATATGCATCCAGCTGCTCATTCTTTCAAAAACTAAATCCAATACAGTGAGCTTGCCCAGTGTGTGCACCAATTATAGCTCTCAATTCAATCACTCCACATCAAAACGAACAAATGGGAATTGCTATTCAGGTTAAGTAATCACTAACCATAGTCCATAAGCCCATCACAGTCCACAAAAAGAACAAAACAACAAACAACAATTTTATACAGCTAACAGCTACAATTTACAACTCACTTGACCCAGCTTCTTTTCCAACACTTTATTCCATAAACTCATTTGATTTGGTAAAATTGCTACTTGCTTTTAGAAATTTAGCTGCGAAACAAAATAAAAAAAGACAGCAAAGTAGACCATAGCTCCATCGTCAATACATTTTCCTCACTGATTACTCTATTAGCTCCACGATAAGTATATAAATAGAGAGAGATCCTTACGAGAACTCTTGAAAAGCATAGACTACAGGATCGATTTTAGGAATGACGACGGGAAGCCTCTCGAAGAGAACGGCGGCCACGATCTTCTCATCGCCCGCGGTCTTCGATGCAGATGTGGAGAACAGTCGCACCGCGGCCTGCACAGACCGTCCAAACCTCGAAAACGACGTCGCACTCTGCATTCTCCCACTCTCTGTGCGCTGTTTGTACACAAATACACACGCATTAAAGTGTTGTACTGCCAGGAAAAGTAAAATGTTCGAAAACCTAATTCATGGAGGAAGGATAGAAATGAAGAACTGTGGAAAATGAGAACGGCGAGGTTTACCGGACACCGGCGAGCTCTTGGTTGCAGAGCTGCTGCTCTTCTGTAGACCCTAATATCAACAAGACAATCCAAGTCGCGTTTTAGAAAGGAGAGAAAACGCTCCTCTTTTACAGGCGCGTTTTTATGCTCTTTGCTTCCTCTGTAAAATGCTGTTATTTGGTGTTTTTTTTAGTTGTTTTTCTGGGCTGGGCTGGGCTGGGCTGGGATTTAAACGGACTTGTGCGAGTTGAATTCCGAATTTAGTATCATTTTTCACAGTTTATGTTGAATTTACATAGTTTAGCTGTTTAGGAGTTATATGAGAACTTACATCAGGTTCTAATTTCCCACGAAGTAATATTATGAGGTTTGTTTGGTACTTAGTTGATAGAAAATAGTTGATTAAATTAAATAATAACTTATAATGGTTTCATACTTGGCATGTGAATAATTGATCGAATTAGTTGATTATGAAAAGTGTTATAAATAATTAGCTATTTGATAAGCAAAACAACTAATTTTACAATCTTTTATTTCAAAAAGCTCTAATATTCAGCTTTTTTAATATTAGCTTTTTGAATAAAAAAACAATTTAAACTGCTATTAACGCACTATCAAATTAGAGATATTGATCTCAAGCCTTTAATATACATCAAACCTAGTATTAAAATTGTCCTTACTAGGGTCGCCATTACCCCCAAACACGCCTTCATTCTTTGGCTTGCAACGCTCGGGAGGCTCCGAATCAAGGATAGACTTAACTTCCTTGATATCGACCTTACTTGTGCCTTTTGTGGGGAAGCTTCCAATACCAAGGATCATCTCTTTTTCACTTGCCCCCTTTCGACTCACGTTTAGCTTGGCATCCGACATTGGCTAGGATTGAGGAGACAACTCTCCACACTGAAGACTGCATTGAAGTGGATTAGGAAAGAATCCCAAGGCTCCGGTTGGAGAACAAAAGCAAGGAAGTCCGGACTCGCGGCAATGGTGTACTTTCTTTGGAATGCTCGGAATAGGAAGATATTCGAAAATGAAGTGCAAACTCCGGAGCTCATTATTCGGAAGATTCAAACCCATATCTATAGGACTATATTTGCTTTGTACCCGAATGTCCTTGACGAAATGGAGAAAAAAGCCCTAGGAAATGGCTAGGCGAAGCCTCCTTATTGTGCGTATGATTAGATCTATAATTATTTTGATTACGATTTCATTTTGATTTAGAGTTTCATTTTAGTTTGAGCTGAGCAACCGACATGTGGTTTGCCACTCATTATTTTGATTAGCGAGTGAGGAGCCGAGATTGTGACCGCTCACTTTGCTTTCGTATGCCATGTGACGGTCGATGTAACATCAGTTTTGATCTATAAAATTTATTTTACCGATCCAAAAAAAAATATTGTCCTTACTAAACTCAATATTTCCTCACTGAAAAATGATACCCTTTTTTAGTCTTTGCATTATCAATGTCGGGGTTAGCTTCGGATCAACATTTCAACAACCAATCACCGATAAATTGTGGAACTGTATAATTTGTTATAGAACTTTAAATATCATGTATACACTTATTCTTCTAATCATGAATACAAATACTTGCCATATGATACGGGAGTACAAAAAGGAAAAAATTACTCAAAATAGAGAGAAAAAAATGTTGAAAAGAATGACTCGCTATTGACCCGGTTGCTTGTTAAACTGGTCGAAAACGCTATGTTCTCCTCTTCCTTTTATTTAATCTTTTCATATTTTCTTAGAATGCTGAAAATATAATGTTAAACAACATAATCTCCAAGCAAATATCAAGTTAAGTTCACCTGAATCGTACAAGTTTTGCTAAAATAGGGGCTTTCTCCCATTCAACATACCCAGCAAATGGTCCAAAACCTGAGCGCCCGAGTCTCTCAAACCTGAATGCATATATTCATTCGTAATCCATAGCCGGATTCCCTCTATTTGAGCAGCAGTTTCCTTAACGAGGTTAAAGTTAACATAAACATCCTCGTAATAAACAGCAGCAGCTACTGGCACCTGTATTGAAAACAAATTATCATATCAATGGCAAAAAAAAAAAAGTGATAACGAGCCAAAATAGCATCTTGAAAAAAGAAATATTTCCAAGCTTATGAACCCTTTTCTTTTGTATGGCAGTATTTTGGAATGATTGAGAAAAAGCTTAGGCAAGAAAAAGGAAAACCTTGTTGTTACGTAGTGATGCAGCATCGTATAAAGGAGGCCAATCCTTTTTCTCAGCCAATAAATGAGCAGCATCTTTGAAAGGCCTCAATGCGTGAATTTCGTCAAATACCCATGGGAATATCATCTGTTGAACAAAAAAAATATTGAATAGAAGCATTTATATTTAAATAGTAGAACAAATACAAAATTAATGAGTAAATTGCTGTTTCAGTTGAATTCTTACAATACCTCTCCAGTAAATAGCACAGGGGCTCCTTCATTGACTGCTTTTACTGCATCAAACTTATTCTCGTATTCCGACCTTATTCTGTGAGCAGACCAACTTGAAGCAGCACCCTTTAACACAATTTAGAATCAAATTAGATAATAACTTTGAGTGGGGAGCAAAAGATATTCCCAAACTAATAAGCTCGTGACTTCATATAACTCCAACAGAAAAGCATTGCCAACAAGCAACAAGTTTACCTGGCAGTATATGGACTCATGCATGAGAGCATACAGAGGATTAGTGTCAAAATCCAGCCACCTTTCGTACTGCATTAAGTACAATTTTGTTACTAAACAACAGCGTGTATCATAACTCATACGTGCACTTGAGTAAGAATATTGTTAAAAACTTACTGCATTCAGGAAAGTGTAGCTAATTTTCTTAGGTGCTCTAGGAACTAATATAGGATCCCATACTCTCTCAAACCTATGGGCAAAAGGTTAAAAGAAGCAACTAACAAATCCAAAGAGCAAATCAAATGTATTCTGACAAGTAAAGATAATGATCTAGTAAAGGGAAAAAAAGCTCGGCTTACATGTAGTGTAAACGTTCAAAACCAGTGCTAGATCCTAAACCCGACAAACCCAGAAGCTGTAGACCTCGTGGTGTTAAAATGCTGCCCGATGGAAGAGGAACCTTTGCACATGAAAACAAAAGCGATGTACAAAGGACAAATGAGATGAAAAATTTCGAGTTATATCACTAAAACACAAATCTTCAGAGAGAGAGAAGTGGAAAGAGAAGATTTGTTGAGTTTCCTCACCCCTCCTCCCTCAGCATCAGCTAAATATTTGACCACTTCACGAACAGTTTCAATATCTTGAGGAAACCTCTTGTAATACTTCTCGTTCTGGATCATGACCTGCTCAAAGCAAGCTCTGTAAACGGCATCTGCAGTGCATCCACTTCCAATTGGAGGGATCCCACCGGTTAGAAGGACTTGCTTCAGCCCTTGTGGGGCAAAGCTGAGGTAGGTAACTGCACAAAAGCCACCATAACTCTGCAGGGAGACAATGACAACCTCCATAATGAGATAAAATATAGACGCAGTTTACATTACTGAGTACAATTGCAGCCTGTAAAATTGTAAATTAACTAAAGGCTATTATGGGGTTCAGGTCCTTTTTTTACTGGAACCTTTTTGCAGCGTGTTGAGTGGGCATTTTTTGGTTTTTTGTTTTCTAGAGAAGGAGAAATGTCATCAACAATTTACTTGAAATAAGACCAAATCTGCGTACAGACGATAGCTAGGGAAAATATGGAATATGTCATTGACCATTCACGTTGGATTTGTACGCGCACACACCCGTGATGAAATTTGAAAGAGCATTAATACCTGCCCCAACACTGTCCAAGGCCTGGAACCAGGTACGAGCCTTTTGCGAATGAACTCCGCATCATTCACTATGTTGTCAGCTCGGAAGTGTTTCAAGTAGTCTGCCAACTTCTTAGCAGATTCGAATTGAGACATTGAGGATGATGTTAAAGGTGTCGATAGACCTGTTCCACGCTGTGCTGTAATATGTCAGCAAAAGAGAAGATAGAACAGAACACACATATAGAAGCAATAGACACACACGAAGAACCTCAAAAAGATGCTCAATTACTGTACCTGGTCCATTAAAACAACACGGTAATCTTCACATGCTTTTTTTATCCATCCGCTTGCTTCAGTTGGTCGTGCGCACTCAAAACCTGGTCCGCCCTGCAAGTAAAGCAGAAAAGGGAGGTCTACTTCTTCCTTTCCAACTGCAAGAATTATGGTCTATCAATTATTTAATATTTATACAGATATCTGAAGGCAACAAATGGTAAAAAATAAATAAATAAATAAATAAAGAAGCGTGACATAGAAAAATATGATTTCTACTCATAAAGCAATAGGTTAGAGGAATGTCATGTGTCCACATGATTTCTACTCATTAAGCAATAGATTAGAAATATGTCATGTGTCCATAAAATGAGTTTATTTATGTTACAGGTATTATTGGAGAGATGTTTGAAAGTTCAACTCCATTCAATCTCCTATTATCAAGTCAATTATGAAAATAACTTAATATAGAACTAGCAGGAGATAAGAGTATGAATGAATTTGTCGAGTGACAATTAACTCTAGATTCTGATTGCACAAGCCTTTCACAATATTCCCCACAACAAGGACAGCCGCTTTCTCCACTCTTTCACAAGAATATTCTCAGTAGCTTCAGTGTGGATGGTTTAGCATTTCCTTTAACTATTCATTCCAGAGTAAGGACCTTTTGAGATTTTAAGAATACTGCTGCATTTAACTTGAACTTTTTAATACTTTTAAAAGTCTTGAGATATTCAGTTGAGATTTCAACAAGTCTTAAAAAGTTGTGAAGTATTCAATTTATTTATCATTATGATTTGTTTGGACTGTTAAAGAGTTATTGAGATTTCAAAGACAATACACACATACCCCACATCAAAGCAGATTTATAAGGATTCCACTTAAATCAAAAAATCTTAAGAAGTCTTAAACTGTCAGCTTATTAAAGTCCCTAACGAATACACCCCTCGGAGCACAATCTGGTTCTTTCTCGAGTCCTAGAGCTCAGTGAAACAGTTGAGTACAGGCATTAAAGCTCAATTTACCACATAGCTTCTAGAAACTCAGACATCCAAGCCTAGATCATGCACTACATGAAATTCAAAACACGCTGATATATTATCCAGAAGATGAAAAACCACAAAACTGAAATAAAACAAAGCACAGTGTAAAAACAGTTCACAACCACAATTTGCAGCATCAAAAAGATCAATCAACTAGAAAAAAGTGAACAACTCATTTCCCAAACTAGAATCGATCCGTTACCAGCGACAACTTCGCAAGCGAAGACTGTAATGTTCGGAGAAGTAGAAATATCGAGGGAGTAATCAAGAGGCACGACGAATCTGTGGTCTCTGAGTCGGAGCTCTGGCACCGAGAACCAATCGCCCGACCTGTGCTGGCCATCAGAGGCGGCGACGGCGGCGGCGGTAGCTTCCATTGGCGTGGTTTTAGCGGCTGAGCAACTGGATGAGTGGAGGCAGATGAATTTGATGCCGGATTTTGGTGGGATTGGGAGTGGAGAAAGCGTGCCAGAGTGTATAGAGGCGATAATGCGAAGCTTGTGCAGTGGCGCTAACAATAATGGGGTTGCCCTGAGTGCAGCCATTTTCCTTGTGCTTAATCGGGCCGGGCCAGCTATGGAGAATTGACTATAAAATCGATTTTTTTATGTTTTTTAACCATGCATTCTTTGGGCTTTTGCAATTGCTACCTAATCAATATTACTTTGTCAATTGCAAAATAATATATAGTTCGGAAGCAATATAAACAATTGCTTAATCGGGCCGGGCCAGCTGAGCTCTCGGCGCTCAAAAAGAGAATTTTTATATAATTTCTTATAGTTCGGCTCGTTAAAGTTCGAAATCAACTCGTTTAAGGCTCGAGCTCGAGGCTTTACCAAACTGAGCTCGAGCTCGATTTTTGACTCGTTTATCTAATGAGCCGAGTTTGACTCGGCCTGTTAACAGCTCTAGCTTGGCTCGACTCGTTTATAGGCCTATTTGTGATCATTAGATAATTTTGGTCCATTACACTTTTGATAGTTGAGTTTTGAATCTTTTGATTATAAATTATAATTAAAAATGTATAAACTATTCATATTAAAATTTTATAAATTATAATATTAAGGAAATACCAAAATTAACTTCCCATGCTTGTTGCACTTTTTCCATTGCTCCTAATTTCTAGGGCTGGGATTTTAAAATCGAGAACCGGAAAACCGATCCGAACCGAATCGAAATTTAGCGGTTCGGTGCGGTTCCTTATTATAATATAACAGTTTTTCCCGTTCGGTTATTTTTAGGTCATAGCCGGTTTTGGTTCTCGGTTAGGCATCCAAAGCAAGTGAAAGAACCGAAGGACCGGTCCCACATATACAACACATGTTTTTATTATATTGTAAATATGTTTTTTATTAATATTTTTTATTATATATTATATATAATAACAAAAATAAGTTGATAAATGTGTATTATCACCAAACCACCCCAGATCCCCAAACCGCAGGTCCCCTGTTCTCATCACAAATACTCTTCCAATTTCCATTTCATTCTCCAATAAAATCCCTAGGCGGGGCCGTCGCCACCATCGGCAGTCATCTTTACATTTGTTTCGCCGAACCATCGCCAGCACCGGCGAACCCTACCTAGCCGTCGTCGGCATAAGTCTACAATCCGCGCACCAAACACTAAGCCCTACACACACATATCGCATAATCGTCATACCTCCTTGTCGGAAAGGAAGGTTTGTGACGGAAAGGAAGACAAGTGGGAGGATTTTTATTTTTCTTTTTTGCTTTTTTTTTTTTTTTANCAGTAACCGAACCGAAAAAATTTAGAGAAACCTGGTTCCGGTTACTCAATATTTAGACAAAAACCGAACCGGTCCCACCCCTACTAATTCCAATGTTGATGAAGACTGACGTTAACACTATGTTTGGTTCGAGGGAAACTGAGGGGAGGGGAGGGGAGGGGAGGGGAGGGAATTTTATAATTTTCCCTTGTTTGGTTCAATTTTTTGTAGGAGGAAGGATTGAAAATTTCCCTTCAAATCCCTCCTTCAAGGGAAAATCTCCTCCCCTCCATAAAATGACTATATTATCCTTTATGTATAAATTATTTTATTATTTTGTTTCTTACATCATTAAGGATATAATTGTCATTTCTACAATATTTTTCTTCCCCTCCATTATTCTAACCAAACAAGGTTTACCATTTTCCCTCCACTCCCCTCCTACAAAATCCCTCCAAATCCCTCCAAACAAGATAAAATTATTTTACATCCCTCCCCTCTCCTTCCTTCCATTAAAATCCCTCCTTTGCCCTCAGTTGAACCAAACATAGAAAATTGACATAAAAATTGTTTTGTCAATCGACTTTCTGTCTCCCCTTTTCGAATCACTATTGCAATTTTTACCAGCGAAGATGAAAATCTTCACTTCAATCTGCAAAGCCCTCCGCAATTCCTCCACCAAACCGCGACCCACCGGCGCCGTCCCGCCGTCCATCCTCCGCCGCATGAGCAATGTCCCCGAGAACACCGTCTACGGCGGCCCGAAGCCCCAGAACCACACCCAGCGGGTGACGCTCACCCACCTCCGGCAGAAGCACAGGAAGGGCGAGCCCATCACCATGGTCACGGCCTACGACTACCCGGCCGCCGTGCACCTGGACACCGCCGGCGTCGACATCTGCTTGGTCGGCGACTCGGCATCCATGGTGGTCCACGGCCACGACACCACCCTGCCCATCACGCTGGAGGAGATGCTCGTCCATTGCCGCGCGGTGGCGCGTGGGGCCAAGCGCCCGATGCTCGTCGGGGACCTGCCGTTCGGGACCTACGAGTCCAGCACGCATCAGGTTCGGGGATGTTTGATTATATTTGATTTTTGTTGCTAGCTAAAAGCTGATATAACTCGCAAGAACTGTTAAGTAGAGTTCCACAATTTGAAAAAACATCCGAACTTGACTTGGTTATAGTTTATGGTGGAGTAAAGTAGTTGCATATAAAAATGACCTATTGGAGTTATGCAAAGGCAATGATTCTTCTAATCTCAAAGTAGCTTTTTTATGGTTGCGGGCTTGGCTCGTTTAAATGCTTTGAATTGTTTGCTGTTCGTATGTTCCCTTGGAAATGAATTTAGTATAGTTACTTCTTGTTTATATCTTGAAGTTAGCTTGTTCAAAGCAGTTGGATCACAATTCTTTTCCAGATTTTAGTATAGATACTTCTTATTTATATCTCGAAGTTAGCTTGTTCAAAGGGGTTGGATCACAATTCTTTTGCAGTAGAACCTTGTGTTCATTATCATCAGTGGATGTTTGGAGTTCCGTACCGGACTAATATTGCGGTTGTTTGCAAGGATTTGATGTCAGTCAATATTATCTAGTTCATAATAACATATCCGTTGTGGTTGTCTGGATGATGTGATCATCCAAGGGATTTGAAATCCTTACCCTCATACTTTAATCTAATCGTTGAGTTATCCTGCTGGATTAATGTCTGTAATTTATAACTTAACTCTGAATATTTCACTCGAATCATCATTTTCCTATGCAGCTTGTATACGTTCACTAAAATGCACCTTTGCATGTTCCCAATTACTTGTATGCCCATTACTCTAGCAACTACAAACGGACTTAGTTCAACTTTTGCCAATTCTAATAGAAAACACTACCTTTTAGTTTTCTTGTTTTGGGCTTTGAATGTGCGGTTGGCGATTTTCATTCTTGAATTGAATTATGGACAGGCTGTTGACACAGCCGTGAGGGTCTTGAAGGAAGGTGGGATGGATGCTATTAAGCTGGAAGGTGGGGCCCCTTCAAGAATCACTGCAGCCAAAGCTATAGTCGAGGCTGGTATTGCCGTGATGGGCCATGTGGGACTTACACCTCAGGCCATTAGTGTTCTCGGAGGTTTCAGGCCCCAGGGCAGAAATGTCGATAGTGCAGTCAAGGTACTTTTTTTTCCCAAATATTTTTTCGAAAAAGAGAGAGAGAGAGAGAAAGAAATTCCATAGTGAAATTGAAAATGGATTCTATACAAGTGGGTTATTGTTTTTCACAGGTTGTGGAGACTTCAATGGCCTTGCAAGAGGCGGGATGTTTTGCTGTTGTGTTGGAATGTGTTCCTCCGCCTGTGGCTGCAGCCGCAACTTCGGCTCTTCATATCCCTACCATTGGCATAGGGGCTGGGCCTTTTTGCAGTGGTCAGGTTAGTATTTGCTTCTTGGTTTTTGTTCTTTTTAACTTTTTAACATCGTTGAGTTCATATTTATGGGAAGTATTGGTAGCTGTTGAGCTGGCATTACAGGTCGTGCCATTTTTCGAGTGATTCACTTTATGTTAGCTTAAGAGATTTGCTCTCTCATGGATACTTGTAATGTAACAAATAAATTAAGATCAGAATATCATCTCTAAACACTCGGAAAAACAAGACTGTGTGCTTTAGCTATCTCGACATGGGTACCTATATTTAACGAAAAATGGAGAAATGGAAAAAATAAGAAAAGAAAATGAACCCACCCAAGAGAGAGTGGAAAAGTTTCAATCTTTATCTATTTTGTATCCTTGTGATGTGTGGTGAAGTGTGCACATGATTCCAAATCATTTTAGCCACATTCTTCATTTGCTTCCCTTTTTTCCTTGTGTCTCGTCTATTTACTATGTATAGGCTGTTAAACTCAATTGTAACTTGAGAACGAAAGTATATGTTGAATATTCTGCTGGGCTGGCCGTTTAGATAAAAGAGTTTATATCTACATACCAGAAAAGGAAAAAAAAAAGGCGAACTTTCTTGTTACCGCAAATATATCATAACAATAAAAAGAAACCAAATTTTTTATCCTGCAGGTTTTGGTTTACCACGACCTTCTCGGGATGTTACAGCACCCGCACCACGCGAAGGTCAGTAAATCCCCACTAATGTGTTTTTTCCTTTTTAGTACAACTATTCACAACTCACTATAGCCATTTATTTTGTTTCGAAAAAATGAACTTGTTGTCATTTTCTCTTGACCTACGCAAGGTGACTCCAAAGTTCAGTAAACAGTACGCGCGCGTGGGGGACGTGATCAACAAGGCCCTCGTTGAGTACCGAAAAGAAGTCACGGACGGCACTTTTCCGGGCCCGGCCCACAGCCCGTATAAAATCAGCAAAGCTGACACAAACGGGTTTTTGCAGGCACTGGAGAAAATGGGTTTGGGTGATGCTGCATCAGCAGCAGCAGATGCAGCTGAAAAATTTGAAGCCACTGAAAAATGACGAGATATAGAGAGATTAGTGTTTAGTTTTTGCTCGACCGTGTTTTGTAGAGCCAATGGAGAGCTTTCGAAGGCTGTGAAATGGCATGTTTGTAGAAGTAGATTGATGCTCTTTCTAACGAATCTGACATTTGAGTGTGTGATCAAGTGTTTTCACTAAACATTTAATGTTAAGTTTGATCATCAGATCAAACCCATGGAAGAAATAGACATCTGAACATTGACTGGACTAATCAACTATAAAATAGTTTCTTTTTTAATCATTTTTTTATTGTATTGAAAGAAAATGTATAAATAAAAGAAGGATTTTTTTGTTCTTATCGACTATTTTTGAATGATGAAAATTTTAAACTAGAATCATATAAGAGATAATTATTTAAATGATTTAAGATAACACCCTTGTGAACTAGTTGAAATGATAAATTTCTAATCAGGTGCAATGTCATATGTCTAAAATAAATGTTACTAGTATTAGACTCTGTGCATTTGCACAGTGTAAATAGAATATTATAAGATACATTTATGCATATAGTATTAAAATTGTAAATTATCCAATGATATTATATTTTAAATATAGAGTATTATAAATTATATTTATGCATATAATAATAAAATTATAAATTAGATAATGATATTATGTTTTAAAATTTGATCATTGGTTAAAATAAATAGTACATAACTATTTGATTGCATATGAACCACTATGTTGATTACATAAAATATAATAAATAATGTAATTTTGAGATACCGCCAATTTATTAGCTTAAAAATATTAAATTTATTATAACATTTGATTATGTGATTTTAAGGAATTTTACTATAACATTAAAATAAATTAACTTATTTAAAAATACAATCACTAAATAAGATAAAAAAAAATATAATATTAATTTAGAATAAAATTTGCAATAGTTTTTTTTTTTTTATGTTTATGTAACTTCCATATATCATTTAATATAAAATATAGTTATTAGTTTTAATAATAACTATTATATGATACAATCAAATAGTATAATTATTACTCAGTTAATATAAAATGTAACGGTTTTTGTCTTAGTTGACCCTAAAAAAAGTGAAATGAAATATTATAGCATTAATTAGATATGGTGGATTAATAATATATATATATATATATATAATTATTGGAAAACTTCATTTAATTTTATTCAACCTTCAATTAATAATAATATGAGTTCATTTAATAAAAATAGGTTGCATTTAATAAAAAAATTTATGACCTCCATCAAAAGAACATTACAATATTTTTTTTTTTTCTTTTAATTTATTCCATACAATCACCCACCTATTTTTTATTATATTTTGGGTTTGTAACGGTTGCATGCGATTACCATTTTTTATTTCTTTATATTTGGAGAATGTAACTGTTGCTTGGTTACGAGATAATGTTTAAACCCTTAAATTTGAATGATTAAAATTATTTTTTTAATTTATATGTTGACTATTCACATGAAAAAGTATTAAGTACTGATATGTTATAGATACAATGTAAAATATATATAAGAAAAGTCATTTTTTGTAATATAAATCTTTACACCAGCTCATTCAAATTTAAATTTTTCATGCAAAATTGTACACTATATTATTATTAGTTGAATTTAATGAAAAATAATTATCTATTTTATTTTATATAATAAATATAGTGATGAATTTGAATACTTTTTTTTATGTTTATTTTTATTAACGACAAAAATTTTAAAATGTGATACTATTATTTAACTTATAATTTTACAATTATACACATGCACGTAACTTATAAGTTATAATAATTTAAATTTCTGTGCATGTGCACAGGATCAAATACTAGTAATAATAGATGATTGTAACATAAAAAAATGGTAAACAACAATTAATATTATTAAATTTACTGTTAGTAATTAAATATATAGAGAGAGATATATAAATGATAAAGTTTGTAACAGTTTTTGACGGAAAATCGAAATGAGGTTTTATTAAATGTTTTATTAAATGGATTAGCCAACAATTATATATATATAGATTTACTAGTCCATAAATTTAATTTTCATTTATTTAAATAATATATTTAATTTATTATAATATTATATTTTATATGTATGTAGTTGTCCCTCATCTTTTTATTTATTTTTTTTTTTGTTTTTGTTTTTGTTGATGTATATTTGATATTTTAAGGTATATTGGCATAATATTTATCAAATTTTATAAAGTATGTTACCAATTTTATTATTTTTATACTAGCAATTTAACAGCTGTGGCTAGCACAGCCGGCCCACATTATTAAGATTTGTTGTTCATCAAAAAATAAATCATCACTAACTTAAGAGTCTAAAAAGTGTTAAATAAAAGTTGTTTTGTTATTTAATGTGTTGGTTATTATGTTATTCATATGTATTTGTGTATATTTTTATTGTTCCGTGTGAACTTTCGGTATTTAATGTGTATTTTTTAATGATATGTTGTTTTTGGGTTGGAACATAATTATCAATATAATTGTTAATCATAGCTTTGTGTATAATCTGTTTATGTAAAAAGTATTATTCTTTTGACATAAATGCTATAATTAAAGATGATGGAAAGAAAGTAAAACAGTAAGAATGATAGGATATTGATATAATTTGTCGATACATAAATGCATATTGAAATCAAACTTATCACAAAAAACCATGGGTGCATATATTTATCTGGAAAGACTGTCTTAACACATACAAAATAAGTGCTGCAATTACATAGGGCAATAAGGCAATAATGCTAATATTAATTTTACTAAGCTTGAACAAGCATCCATGCTTAGTAAAACGTAATATAAGCATTAACAAAAGAGGTTTGGTGCAGATTATTTACGTCATAATTGTTCCAACAAAAGGTTGCTAATGAGATAGCAAAAAGTCCAGAGTTATATATAGGGTGAGCAGCCTGCTAAGGATACCAAAATATGTTGGTTACTTAGATGTTAAAAGTTGTTCTTGCGGCGTTTCTTTACACTGCCAGCTTCTTGCACATTTTCAGAATCGTCGGGTGAGTCATGTTCAGTGCTTGTATTGGTTGGTGTTGCATCCTGGAATTTTAGTGATCCTTTGACTGAGTCTGTTTTGTCAATTGACATCTTCATGGTGGATGAAGATTCATTTAGTGTTTCATTGAGCATGGAGAGCACTTTATGGCCTGTTGGTGTGAATTGCTGCTCCTGAACCAAATTTTGTAATAGATAAAAGATGAAAAAAATTTGAAATCAATTAATAATTAATTGATAGGACAATTATAAAAACATAGCCACCGTATGATAAACTCTATATGTTACCTGATTATTATTTTCATCGTCATTTACATACAAAACAACGATAGCAAACCTTGATTCATCCCTACCCTAGTAATCAGATATATAATGCCTAACAAAGCATGTTATGGTCTTGCTTTGGAAGTTGCTTTCCACATCCACACAATTTTTTGCCTATGAAGGAAAAAAAAATGTTTAATTTGTTTACTCATATAAGCTTATATTAGCTATTATTATTTCAGGAAAAATATGGATATGAAATTAAATAACATGATTTCTAGATAAACTCATTTCAGCTGCTGTTATGAGGAGTAGAACTTCAGCCTCAGGTCCGCTGGCAGAAGCATGCAGAACTCCAGCCATATCTTCGATACCAATTGTAAACTTGCATCTATAATATGTAATTGACAATATTATGATTATGATTTGAAGAATTTTTTTTATTTAGAAAGTAAACTTTTTAATTATTACCTGGGTTGCACATCACCCTCTTCCTTGCATTGGGTGCATATAACTATCCAACCTACTTGTGCGTGCAACACTTTGTTGCAATTCGGGCAAGCCGTCGACCAGTAAGAAGATTGACCTAGCACAAGCAAAGTTTTTCCTTGTATCCATGTTGTTTTGACCTTCATATGTCATTAAAAGAAAGAATTTTTGAAGTTGGTCGACTATAAATGTTTAGTTGAGTTTAAATATCTGTTTACACAACGATAAATAATTACCTCTGGCAGTTTTTTTAATGCCATACGAATTGTCAGAATTTCTGATTCATTCGGAGATGGCAAAAGAAAGTTAGGATCCGCATAGACATTTTCTTCCAAGCCACTTCTTCTTTGTGATCTATGTACCTGCTTTTTTGTTGTGTTAGCATTTTCAGAATGTATGCATAGTTATAAGAAACATATTATTTTGTATACCATTGTTTTAAAATGGGTGCTTGAGGAACTGGTGGGTTGACCATTATGGCACTCACAAATGTTGTTGTCAGTGAAAGCACTGGACATTTGAAATGTAAATTATGAGCATCACATAGTGAACAGTTTATAAAATTTTATAACAAATAATATACATATAAAATTAAATATTGTCAGAGAAGAACTTACAGTTACTTTCACCCTCATGGCGATTATGATATTACCAGTAGGAATTGTAGCAGCTAATTGTGCACCTTCATTTGTTGCAAACTCATCCAAAAGAGTTAATATCATCGGCCTATTTCTGAATTATATATAGCAACAATTAAATTATGTATATCATTCTTTATGAGTATACAGAAAAAATCTTATGATAGAAACAATACTTTTTTATAATCATAATTGAATAAAAAAATGTATTCTTTTAAATACACACTTACTCTTCATTGACAATGACAAGATCCCTAGGCTTTGATTTATCAGAAACGTCCTTTCTTGGTAAGGCATGCACAACAACACCCATAACATCTACAATAAAAGAAAGTAATAATAATCAATAATGAAAAAAAAAAAGATGTCTGAGTAAGAAGATATGGACGGTTAAATTTCATAGAAAACAACAAAAGACTAACTCTGATAATTTTCAGTCTCTGCAAAGGAAATAAGATTCTGATATTGCTAGAGCTGTATTTTGCAAGGCAACATTGGTGGCAACTGTTCTGGATATTCCTCAAAAAGAGAATCATAACGGATTGTCCATGTGTAGGGATAGTCACTGACATGATATTGTGGATTAGCGGGCTGCATATTAACTCCAGAAATATAGTACCTCTTATAAGGCATGATGCGGCTCTCGAAGAACTGGACTTCACCTGCATAAGTTGTTGCCTGAACAATGGTTCCCTATTGCGAAGAAAGAAAAGAAAAAAAAAAAAGTTCGTATTAGTTGAAAATAGTTAAGTAATTAGTGCATAATTTGTATACTGATTCTTTTAATTACACACATATATAGTTCAGTGTAATTAATTGAACCTTTGAATCAGTGAAAAGATGTCTTTGATATGGTGTTCGCCTTCCTGATTTGCCAATTTGAACATGGCCTTTTTCAACAACTTGTACAATGACAGTCCAACCTTCAGTTTCACTGGTAACTTCATCAATTTGTAGATATTTTCGCGACATGTTGCTAAATGAAAAATAATAATAATAATAATAATAAAAGATTAGTAGTAGAAAATTTTATACATGGATTTAAATGAACATTACAACATATGAGTTACTACAGAAAGCATTTAGGAAAACAAATAGCAAATATTCATGATTGTGCTTTTTCTAAAACTTCTTGAAATACAATATTTTTGGTGTGTCTATTTTTTCTTCTGTCAAAGAATGGTGGTTTTATAAGCAAGGCAACATCAGATGCCTTTCTTGCTCGCAATAAAGCAACATATAATTGGCCATGCGAAAAAACAGGCTCACGCAAATGCACACCAACAAAATCTAAATCTAAAGTCTGGCCTTGTGTTTTGTTAATTGTCATCGCAAATGATAATCTAATGGGAAATTGTGTCCGTACATATGGTACTGGATATTGATGATCACTCGGAGGTTCTAGTGGTATTCTATGTATAAAAACTTCTTTTCCAGCAAAATCACCAACAATTATTTGTGCATGCACAATATTTTTAGTTAAATTTTTGCATATCAATCTAGTTCCATTACATAATCCTTCTGTGGGATCTAAATTGCGCAGCAAGACTATAGGGGCATTTTTTTTCAGGATTAATTTATGAGATGGCATACCACTTGGGGTCAATGAATTGATTATATCTTCATATTGGCCTTTATGTGCGGATTTTCGAGGTTCATCAAAGCTATAATATTCAACCGCCTCTCCTGGAAATCTATCTATGAGGACACTATTGACCTCGTCAACGAAGTTATTTCTAGTACTTAAAATAGCTTTATTTGTTGTAAATATATCATTATTCATGTCATACAGATTAGGGAAAACAATATCTATGAGACTATCAAGTTCATCTATGTCATTCATACTTAATGTGTTTATAAATGTAGGCATCGCCATAAAATCATGATCATCTGTTTCTTCTGTACCATCTCCTACTCTCAACAAAAAATTTGTGAAATTAGGGTCTAGTCTAGCACGCATATTCTCAGTCAGTTGAATTTTTTCTAAATGTGGCCATAAAGGTGAATTAACTAAACAAGCATTTACTGAGTCAGTTCGTCCACCCCTACGGACAACTGGCAGAACTTGTCTAAAATCACCTTCAAAAACAATAACTTTACCTCCAAATATTTCTGACGATTCTAATATATATTTAAGCAACTTGTCTAATGATTCTATTGCAGATCTTTTAGCCATTGGTGCTTCATCCCAAATAATTAATTTACTATCTCTGAGTAATACCCCAAGACTATTTTGTTTGCTGACTGTACAATTTTTGCCTTTTGATAAGTCCAATGGTATTTTAAATCTTGAATGTGTTGTTCTACCACCAGGTAAAATAGAGGCAGCAATACCAGAAGTTGCTGTTGCTAAAGCTATGTAGCCTTTTGACATGACATTTGCCAACAAAGCTCGATAAAGAAAGGATTTACCTGTTCCACCAGGACCATCTATAAAAAAGGCTCCAAACCTATTACTGTATATGCGAGCACATATTTCATCAAAAGCAATTCTTTGTTTTTCATTTAATAAATTTATTGCGTTTCAATCTTCAACTGTAACATTTATATTTTTTTTCTGCTATTAATTCTCTTGTTAAACTTGCAGTGTTAAGATCTTTTATATCATGAGGTATTAAATCAAATGAATGAATAGATTTCCCCATAGATTCTAAAAACCCAGCAATTTGCTGCAAAACTTTTGTTCTAACTTGCACGACAGTTAGGGTTGATTGTCTAAAGAAATCTTCAGACATATAGGCTTCGTATTTAGTAAATAAATCCCGTGGATTATTTGGACATGAGTAAACTAATATATTAGCAAAAAGTCTTCGAAGTTCGTAAGGCATCTTAAATTGTGCGGTCTCTTCTAAACATAAATATTGACTGTTATCATCTTTCAATAACCCTCTAATAAGTGTTGTCTCACGGAATGTTTTCACGTGCACTCCATTAAAACATTTTAGGTCATTAAAATATTTAGGACAACGCACTTTTAACAACAATAATCTAAGGTAATAACGCTCTCCTTCAGCAGGATGTGCTGATACGATTCTACCCACTGATTCCTGTCATTCTCGCCTTTTCCACCTTTTTTCATTCACAAGCCATACAAAGTATTGAGGAAATTCTGGGTATGTTAAATTCAATTCTTTAGCATCCTCATCTGTTCTATTCATATAAAAAAATTGTCTCAACATCGTTCTGTCGTTTGCAAGATTTCTAATAACATTCTTAAGCTTATCTTTTTTTTTTAAGCGAATGCTCTGATAATTTTCTAAATGCAACTGTAGATGAATGACTGCTGGTTTAATTTCACCCATGGAGAATCTATAAATTCTCCAAACAACCTCTGGAGGAGATACCCATCTAGCAGCTGTATATTGTTGAATCTCATCAATAGAGTCATTTGGCTTGTCCGCAGCAACATGAAAATTGATTCTATCATGACCCTTATATATGTATTTGTATATGTATTTAACTGCATGTATAGTAGAATAAACCTCTACATTAATGGGACAATTATATTTTGCAAGCAAATATGGATTATATGGTACGACCCATCTATTGTCTAGTTGATTGCCTCTCACTTTAACTTTTCTATTATTATCCATCCTACGATACTGTGGAAAAGCACCTGAAACTTGCGTTGTTTCGTCACAAAAATCTTTAGGATATTTAAACTTGCACTTTTCTTTTTTAGTCATGCATGAATTATGTTTATTCAATTCTCCACAAGGACCGTGCATCATATGTTTTTTAACCACACTATGTAAATATGGATGCACATGCTTATCTGGTATTTCTGCACATACTATTCTATCAAATTCATCCGTCCTAAATAATTTGAATTCTGGATGTAAAATTATCAAAAAATGTGCATGATATAAGCCTCTTTTCTGAAATTCAATCACATATGTATATGCAACAACCTCACCAAATATATTTTTTTAAACAGATCATCTTTTAATTTAATCAGCTTGGCATTAAAAACTCTAGCCACCAAATCTGGTCTATTCTGTATTTCTTCAGAAGACAATAAAAACTATTTAATCTCAGGCCAATTTGGATTACATGTTATAGTTAAAAATATATCAGGTTTGCCAAATTTTTTGGACTAAAGTCATTGCGTCTATATATCGCCTTTTCATATTCATTGGACCACCAATAAAACTGGCTAGTAAGAAGACTCTATGACCTATCTTTGATCCCTCAGTCTCACCGGAGGCTAAAGCGTCCTGAATTGCTTGTAAGTATTCATTCCTAATTTCTTCTTGTTGCAGTCTAAAGAAATCCAAACGCTGCGATTCTAATTTGACATACATATCAACCACGTATTGCTGCAAAAGTCTACCAGATCTAAGCAAATATGATTTATCATGATCTCTAATCTGTAATTTAAATGAATAGTATGCTCTAACAGACACGAATGTTTCAAAATCTGGTTTGATAGACTCAGCTGAAACGAAGGAAAATAAAGGTAATGGTCAGACTTTCGATGAGAAATGAAAGACAATTAAAAAACCAAATTAATTGCATTTCCGCTAAATAAAACCACGCACCTGAGTATTCCATATCAAGCATTTGACTAAAATCATTTGCTAAATCAGGTCTCACAACAAATTCAGTAGGCTGAAGGGAATCAGTTCTATTCACATCAACTGTAGTGTTTTTTTTCTTTATACCTTGATGCCAACCCACCTCTCCTAAAGGGAAAAGTATCGGATATTGCAACGGGTCATAACAACCGAAATAATAACTTATATTATGTGAATGTCCACCATGCGAATATACTCTTATATCTCTATTGCCTAACTCTCCATTTTCCTCTCCCTCAACCCACAGTGCAGCAATTTGAGAAACTTGAGGTTGGTTAAAGACTCTTTGATCAACATTAGGCAAAGTTTTCAAAACTATTTCATAAGTTTCTAAATCGGGTATATCCCTAAGCCTTTTCAAAAATTTCACATATGGATTTTGTTCAAGGACTGTTAAAATTTTTTTGATTAAAGATTCTGTCAAACGTGGACATTCTTCCAATCTTTTAATAACCTCATCATCGGTGTCATGAAAATGTAGCTGCAAGTTTTTAGACTCAGTTAAATTTCCTATAAAATGATAAACCTGCCCTTGAATCCTGAAGGTATTAATGTCTTTATTACGTTTTTCTAAATCCTTGTTAGTGTGAACTCCCATTGAAGTTAATGCAAAATGGTTGTTTACAGTACGTATGCAGTTTCTAAACAACGTAGACTCATCCGATGAAGATGTAAACAGTTCTTTAAATATTGGAGGAGCATCACTGGAAGCCAAAAAAAACATCTCCATTCAAACAACATAAATTATATGTCTCATATTCAATTTTTTTGGCACAACAATGCGGACAATCATGCCAACTACTCTATTGTGACGGCGCCAAAGGAATTGATTTTAATCGATACCTGCCATCTCTCAAACTTTTAATCTGATTAACTTTGTTGGTCTTTTTTCTATGAGCAGCACTCCCCACCAAACTCTTTTGATTTTTTCTTCTTTGTGGAGCACTACTTGTTTCAGCAAGATGATTATACATGTTGGAAACAACAACCGAATCTATATTTTCAAGTGTTTCACTATGTCTAACTTCGTGGACAGGTGTTTGTACCACAGGCACCTGTGCATTTTTAGTTGATTTTTTATTTTTCTTAAATTTCCATTTTTCTATTGCCGCCTGTCTAATTGACTCTCTGAACATCTAGAGTTTCGGCAAGATGACTTTCTTTTGGTCCATCCCTATGAGACTCTCTATCAACATCAACTATCTCATGAAAAACATCAACAGATGAAATCTCTTTTTGAACTTCCACAATAGCATCAAGATTTCAAACAACACGTGTTTCATTAGCACAAACAGTAAAATCATTCATTTCAACATCTATCACATGAGCAACACGATGAGGCTGAATTCTATTTAGTTTTTTTAACTTCCATCTTTTAATGGCCTCTTGCCTATATCGTTTTTTAGCCAAGGGATCCCCACCACTTGGTAAAGGATCCTGCATTTCTTTTCTTTTTCTTCCCATGGGAAGAACGGACAAAATAAAACAACAAAACTAATAGAATTTTTTTTTTCTCTGAGAAAAAACTAATTAATGGTTTTAGACTATAACCTGTGCAAAGTCAACCGAAGAAGCAGAAATGCGTAAGATGAGATAACAAACACCAAGGTATGCGCGGGCACCTGACAAAAGAATAAAAAAAAAATCCAAAAAAACAAAAAACACATGCATTAAGTACCAGGTTTAGGTTTTTTAATTGTTCTAGGTCAACTGACAAAATTTCAAATCACAAACTATTTACCAAAAAATAAAATTAAACAGAAAGCCTCATTCGTAAAAAGCACCACTAAATCTACTTACAACACCAGTTGGATATACGGTGGTGATTGTCAGGTTATGGTCACTCTGAAAATCCCTGTTCATCATATCTAAAATAAAAATGAAAACCCCAAAAAATCAAACAGAACAAAAACAAGATAAAACATAATGAAAAATAAATCTGGAATAAATAGGTGAATAGGTCAATGAAGGTAATAAATAAATAAAACACAAAATGAGAACATGCCCGTTAAAAGAGTACAAATGTTCCAAATGCAACAAATAAAAGAAGAGAAAGGTAAGCAAAGCAAAGACAAAGAGAAGAAGATACATACTGTTGTGGATAAAGACAATTAAGAGCAAAAACTGTGGTCACCACTTATATACAATGCAAATAACATATTCGTAATTAATTTTACAAATTTAATATTCAGATATTCACAAACAAAGCAGGAAAACGTAACTGCAAATAAAATAAGCAGGAAAAAATGATTAAACCTATTCAGCTAATGAAAAGCAAAAATATAGGTATTGACCTTCTAGCCATATACGAACCAATGAAAGATGATTAAAAAAATCCATAATTTCCCAACACAATGGACACGTGTATAATAGAAAAACCAAAATGACTGCAGATGCAAGCCAAAAAACTATAATTACAAAACAGAAAGCTATCAATCAGTTCAGTCAAAAGAAAACAACACAATTGGAAGATCTTTTTTACTTTTTATAATATGCAATCACACAAATAAACATATTATGAGATGCAGAATAAAAATAATTAAATAATTTAATTAAAAACTTATTTGATTAAAATCAAATCACAGAGAAGAATGCCGAGAAGCACCCGAACATGCTGCGAGATGACAAACCAGATGGAAGAATTAAACAAAAATAATTGAAACACAATGAAATAAAGGAAAAAGAAAGGTTTCAAATCACCATAGATGAAGGGAGAAAGGCAGTAAATCGGCGGAGTAAGGTTGAGTACATGATGAATTTTTTATGGGGATGCAAAAAATTGACACTTTCTGGCCCCACAAATGAAAAAAATAATAATAATAGGCAGCAAAGGACGCGGCCTAGAAACGATACCATTTTGGCCCAAAAAAAGGCCCAACAATTTAGGTAGGAAAAAACAAAATAAAAGAAAAATATATAAACCAACAAAGACAGATAAACGAATGTTTGGGTGTCCACGTGTCAGTAAGACACGCACCCTCGAGTTTTCTTATATAGTATGATGATGATGAAGGTAGATAATTTTATAGTACATAATTTTTTGAAAAATTTATTTATCTATAATCCATATCAAGTTATCAACAACGATTTTAGGTAATTCCTCCCAAGTCCACATTTGATGCTGCAAGGAAAAAGGAAAAAAAAAACCCAAAAATGAGACTCGCCATAAAACCTTTCAAACCCTCCCGCGCCGCCGGTCTCCGCCACTTCTCTGCCGATCCCCAACCCTCACCGCCGGCGCCGCAGCCGCCGCAGCTGCCGTGCGAGGTCTCAAAAGTGGTCTCAATCCTACAGACCACCGATCCCAGCTCTTGGCCCACCAATCCCAACCTCAACTCCCTCCTCTCCTCCCTCCCGCCGCTCTCCATCTTTAAAATCGCCCGCCACCTGCCGGACCACCAAAACGCCCTCCGATTCTTCAACCACCTCAGGACCTCCCCCAACCTCTCCGCCTCCGCGCCCCTCGCTTTCCAGGCGGCGCTCGAGCTCGCCGCGCGCGAGAACCCCAACTCGCCGGCCAAGCTCCACGAGCTCTTCCTGCAGTCGAAGGACCAAAATACCCCTCTCTCCATCAATGCCGGGACCCTCCTCATCAGGTCCTTCTCCCGGGCGGGGATGCTGGACGAGATGGTCGCGGCCTTCGAGGCCGTCAACGAGGAGAAGAAGAACACGCACGTGCTGAACTTGGTTATCAATGGACTGTTGGATTGGGGCCGTGTTGATGACGCACACAAGCTGCTCGACCAAATGTTCGAGGCGGACTCCAAGTACCCTCCGAATCCGAACACGATGGGTACCATTTTCTCCTCGATTCTGAAGAGAAATTGGTGTGGCAGGAGCATAGCAGATGAAGAAATCTATAATCTCGTCACTCGTTTCAGCAAAAGTGGAATAGTCCCAGGTGGGTTTCTTTTGACGCAGATGGTCATGAGGTTCTGTAGTAATGGGTACTGTGACTGGGCTTGGGATGTTCTGCACCTGGGAATGAATTCAGGAGCCGATATAGAGGTCGCCTCTTGCAATGCTCTGTTGACAGGTTTAGGCAAGATTCACGATTTCCCTAGAATGAATCAGCTCATGGAGGAGATGAAGGAGAAAAAGATCCAGCCGTCTATCATCACATACGGGATCACGATCAAGCACCTCTGCAGATTCCGGAGGATGGACGAGGCCTTAGAGATATTTGAAAAAATGAAAGGCGGCGAATTTGGGGTAGAGCCCGATACAGTCATTTATAACACAATTATTGACGGGCTCTGTAAAATTGGGCGGCAGGAAGAAGCTCACCAACTGATGGAGAAAATGATGCTGGACAGCAAATGCAAACCGAACACAATTACATACAACTGCTTGATCGACGGGTTATGTAAAGCCGGTGAGATTGAGAAAGGCCAAGACCTCTTCGAAAGAATGGGCCGAGAAGGCGTGGAGCCCAATATCATCACAGTAAACACTCTAATTGACGGGATGTGCAAGCACGGCATGGTTGGCACGGCACTCGAGTTCTTCAACGAAATGCAAGAAAAGGGCTTGAAAGGGAACGTGATAACTTACACAAACTTGATAACAGCTTTTTGCAATGCTAACAATATTGAAAGGGCCATGAGCCTTTTTGATGAGATGCGGGCCAATGGGTGCCCCCCAGATGCCATCGTGTACCAAGCCCTTATTTCGGGCCTGGCCCAAGTTGGGAGAATGGACGATGCCACTCGTGTGCTGTCTGAGATGAGGAAGGCCGGGTTTCGTCTGGATGTGGTGGGCTACAATATCCTCATAGGTGGGTTTTGCAGGAAGAACAAACTGGACCGGGCCTCTGAGCTTCTCAAGGACATGGAGAGTTCTGGGCTGAGGCCCGATCGCGTCACATACAACACGCTGTTCTCGTTTTTCTGCAGCCATGGGGAGTTCGCGCAAGCTCACCGCGTGATTAAGAAGATGACAGAGAACGGGCTGACCCCAACTGTAGTCACTTATGGAGCCCTCATTCACGCTTACTGTTCGCACGACAATTTGAATGCGGCCATGCAGATTTTTAGGGACATCAGCTCGTCTTCCAAGGTTCCCCCAAACACGGTCATATACAATATGTTGATAGATGTTCTTTGCAAGAGTGATGACGTGGAGGGCGCCATGTCATTGATGGAGGATATGGAGATAAAGGGCGTGAGGCCCAACAGCAACACGTACAATGCGCTTTTCAAAGGGCTCAGGCAGAGGAACTGGTTCGAGAAGGCTCTGGAGTATATGGAACAGATGAGCAAACAGGGCCTCGACCCGGATTATGTGACGATGGAGATTCTTACCGAGTGGCTCTCGGCTGTTGGGGAGACCGAGAAGTTGAAGGAGTTTGTTAAGGGCGGACGGGATTCTGGGTTTGCCACGTGAAGGTGATTCTTGGTTGTTTATATGTTCGATTGTCTTTTTTGTCGTAATATTTTGGTTACAAGTATTTGAGTTATGATGTCGTGATGTTGGAGCTAAATTTTTAGAGATATTCATGAACACTTGGCTTGAGCTTTGTGTCATTGTTGTTGAGTAATATTAAAGCCAAGACTTGAGTGATGCTTGAGTAGTGCTATTTTTTCTTCTTTTTTTTCGTGTTCATACTTGGGTCTATGGTTGTTGTGTTTTGCCATATCGGAATTAGGGCTTTGTGATGATTGTCTTGNGAACCTTCTGTTTTGTGTTATTTTTTTGTGTCAGCTTGATGCTCTCAGAATATTGCTCTAATTTAAGATGCTTCTTTTGTTTGTTCTTGAAAGCTCCATCTTGGACCAGTATATCACTTTTTTTAACATCTGAGGCACCAATTAGTGAAATCAATTCAAGAAGTGCAGCTGTTTGTGAGTACTCCTCAGAAACAGCAAATTTTGGTTTAATTCCGATATTGAGGCATTTAGCACTGTATGTTTTGTGGTGTTGTAGGATGAATTATGTCTAGTGGAGCTCAGATTCACTTCTGAATTGGTCTATA